CGCCCCCAACCAGCTCTGTAACCTTGGATGCATTATCTGACTGCTCTGTAAATTGGACATAGTGATAATAACGCCACCTTCCAAGTCTGTGTGAAGAATGATGTATGTGAAAATGCTTAATGAGTATCTGGTTCACAGTAGATGCAAAACTAATGATAGTTATGATTTTAGGTTTGTTTATTTTATTTCTTCTCAGGCACTTTTAGCCTGTGGAGAGAAGGATTTGAACACCAAACTGATAGATTTCTTCTGAAAGCCACCGGATATTGAAAGGTTTTGAGCAGAAGATGAAATGCCCAAAGCTTGATTTTTAGGAAGAGTATTTTGGGTATGTTGAAATAATGTTTTTCACCAGGTTCAAGGAAAATAGATAACAGGATAGGGTGTAAGTGGTCCAGGTAAAACCAAAAAACAACACATTTTAAGGACTTATTCAAGGATGATGATAATAGGAAGCTAAAGAAGATGAAATAAAAGGACATTTCAGAGACAGAATCAATAGGTGTTGGTTGCCAGCTGATTGACTGGATAAGTAGAGAAGTAAGGAATGCCTATAATGAGAAGGTTATGATTTCATTATCAGCAACAATAAAATGGAGACATATTTTTAAAAAATGTATTTTAGGATAAGGTGAGAGTTTTACTTTGGTGATGCAAAATATAAGGCATCCAGGAGCCAATATATAGAGATTTCCAATTGGAGATGTGCAGTGAACTTGATGAGAGATACAGGATAGACATAGGAATTTGAAATTTTTCAGCCTGGCAATACAGTGGAAGCTCTGAGGATTGCTAAGATCTCCAGGGAGATAAGTGAGTAGGAATTTGGGATATATATATATATATATATACTTTAAAAAATGATAAAGAAAAAGGAAGAAAGTTCAAAAGAAAAGGTTAGAGGGTCAGGGAACCCTACATAGTCAAGTTCTACAGAATCAAAGGGATTAAGAGAGGTTTTCAAATATAAGTAGTTCCAGAGATTTTACCAACTTATATCTTTTAGCCATACCTCTTTTATCTGAAATGATTTTGTTGGGATGTGCTCTTTGTCTTCACTGGTATTTATTCTAACTTATAATCTTCTCATCACTCTTTCTGCATTTCTTCCCTTTGTAGTTGGCATGGGCCTTACTGACTCAGGGCCAGAAGGCTCAGGGTCTAGTCCTAGCTCTATCACCAACTAGCAGTTATTTTATGTAAATGGTAGAGATACACAAGGTGTCCTCTCCAAAATGTTTACAGAATTTAACAGCTAATAGCTCCATTTTGAAAATTAAGACTGCCAAAGTGTATTTATGCATTTTTCGGGGGCACCCTATAGATAATATGCTGCCAACTTCAGAGTATTATGGTGAAGATTAAATGAGAAAATGTACATGAATGTGCCTTTTTACCATTGGGAGACCTACAAAGTTAAGATGAGTCTGTTCATAATAATACAGCCATGCCTACCACCCAGCAAAGCTTTTGATGCCTAGGTGATTGTGGTTGGAGACCTAGAAATGAGGACCTAAGGGATGCTAAAGTGATTGCAGTTTTCAACAGGAGGGTTAGCAGCCAAGTAAATGGCAGACCAGAGCCAAAATGTGGATGGCTCAGTTACCAGATCCCATTAACTGCTATGGTCCTTAAATGATGTTTTTTTTCTGCCGTATGTCCTCAGAGATTGCACATCACTCCTTGGAGTGTCACTTTGGGTGAGGCAGCTTGTATTTCTGTTCCTTTTTTAAAAATGACTGTGGCCATTCCTATTGTTTCATTTTGTAATTGTGCAAGGTTCCTTCATAACATCTGTCTATATTTCATTGTTAGCAGATTGATAGACACATCCACATAGCACTAATGGAGACAAATAAATAAAAATGGACCCAATGAGAAACTTCCTCCCTAGGAGATAGACCACGTTATTTCGGGTTATTTTGGGTATACTTTTCAAACCTTCTTACAGTGTCATGTCTACATAGTGACCTAGACCTTCTTCCCCCAAACCTAATTATTATAAGATCACCCCAGTGGGTGACAGTATCAGTACAAATTAAATGTTCCCTTCTCTTAACTGAATGCTACAGGAAACAGAATGGAAGCACATACTTCACTTTGATTATCACCCATACACTGCAAAACAGAGTGTGCACTTCCTCCTTCAAGCTGTGTGTGTGTGTGTGTGTGTGTGTGTGTGTGTTAAACACATCCAGACATTGGGCTGAAATGCAGACATGGTATGTCAGCTCTTGGGAAAACCATAGGAGTCTTTTTCGCTTCTCTAAATCTCCATCTTTTATTTGAGCAATGTCTACAGAGATTCAAAGAACATTATCTTGCAATGATTCTCCAAAGAGCAATTGAATGGTGTCATCCAAAATTGCATATGCAACATATAACAGATCCCCTTTAGGAACTGGGAACCTACCCTGAGTTCTCCCCTTATAAGTTACTATAATTTTTGATAAAGAGAACAGAACTATCACTTTATATATTCAACATGAAAGAAGATAGATGAAACA